ATTAGAGATTAAATTATATTTTCCAAATTTCACTTGAGAATTGAGTGTACCAATTATACCCTTGAGTATCTACCTTGTTCATAGCACTTGGGATTCAGCTTTAAGAACAGCATAAAATTCGTGTACCCCATTGCAAGAAAAGATATTTCCATTTATAAATTATCCATGCAAAGTGGTTTAGGATTTGAAAAAGGTTTTGTAACAACCTGGCAGCTCTTGATATGATTTGGGGAAGTACCTGTTATGGAAATTCAGTGATCTTTACAAACTTACCCGTGGCCAAAAAATAAGAATAAAAAATCAATTAAAACATATCCACAGAGGTTGTAATTAGAATTGATCAAAGTTCCTGATCTATTCCTGATAAGGAGTAAGCTAAGATTTAATTTTAAAAAATTATGACGGGGGCAGGCCTGGTGGCATAGCAGTTAAGTTCGAGCACTCTGTTTCAGTGCCCAGGTTCAGGGGTTCAGATCCCAGGCAGGCACGGACGCACCACTTGTCAAGCCATGCTATGGTGTCCCATATAAAATGAGGAAGATGGGCATGGATGTTAGCCCAGGGCCAATCTTCCTCAGCAAAAAGAGGAGGATTGGCATCAGATGTTAGCTCAGAGCTGATCGTCCTCACAAAAAGAAAAAAAAAATTATGACGAAAAAGGTTATGGTTGGAGGTCTTCTCTTAAAGAAAAAATACCCAATGACACTTATTAAAGATGGGGTAAGGCGGACTTTATTCAGGACCATCCAGATAGTTATAGGAACCCCTGCAATGGGGTTTTACAGTAGAGGAGAGAGATGTGGCTTAACTCTGAATAAGGCATGGGCAGTGGGAATTTATAGCCCAGGAGCAGGGTAAGGATCAGTGGATGGAAAATTACTAAGAGGAAACAACAGGGTTAAGGAGAGTTCTGGCTAAACTGACCTAACAGGATTCTTGGTGAACACAGGCCAGGATGATCAGACACCACCTGGGAGATGGTGGTGGATGAGGAACCCTATCAGATATCGAGGATGATCAGATATTAAAGATGATCAGATATTGAAGATGATCAGATATTGAGGGTGGGCATTCTGGTTAAAGTGACTTAGAAGGGTTCTTGCAAACACCGGATTTTACAAGGAACATGGGCCTAGGCGAAGGTTTATGAGGCAGACTCAAGTTTGGTCAAGCAGAGAATCTTTGTCACTACCTCAAGTATCTCTAGTCACATTTCTTGTAAGAGCTTTCCAGGGCTCTTTCTGTCCCAGCACGCAGTCTAGAGAAGAGCCTAGTCAATGGTTCACTAATTTCATCGCAATTCTCCAAAACTGGAAGCCCTAGAGAGGGTACAAGGTTCAGGCTTGATAAGTCTTACCCTTCATGATGTTCCCTGTATACAAAGATCAGAATGCACGGCTGCTAGAGAGGCCTGAGCACTCACCTGCCGCCAGGCCCTTGACATCCTTCCTCGAGTCTACAGCCACGTGAGAGGAGTGGGCCAGGAGGGTGGCCCCTGTTCGGGTCTGAACCCCGGAGCCCAGGCGTTTGCACCTCACTGAGCCGCAGCTCCTGAGCAATCGTAGAAAGCCCGAGTGGGGTTGTGCGGGTTGTTTACGGGGACAGGCAGGGGCGTGATGGGTGCGGTGCCCAGAAACCCGACAGCGTCGGGCTCTTGCAGACGGCGGCCTTCACCCTACTTATCCTGAAAGAAGGCCCCAGAAAGGGCGGGGAAGGGAGGCACAGTAACGGGGAGGAGGGTCACGAGTTAAAGCGGCCGCAGGAGGGAGGATGCCACGGGCGGCGACTCGCGGCCGGCGGCATCACGTTGGACTCTGGACTGAGCGAGCCTCAGAGGCTTCCAGAGCGGCGCGCTGACATGCCGCGTCCCCCTGCAGCCGTGCTGACCTGACGCCTCCCCGGCGGCCCGCTGACGTGCTCCCCCGGCTCCTCCCGCTGTCCCCGCCGGGCGCTCCCTCCGCGGGCCCCGGGTCGCAGGTGAGCCAAGCCCCGCACCGCCCGGAGGCATCAGGTGTCGTGGGAACGCAGGGAGGGACCGCGGTGTCGCGAGCCGTCGGTGACACAGAGCGGGAGGGTCGGGCCCCAGGACGAAGGCACCATGGAAGGGACACAGGTGGGAGCAGGGTGCGAGCTGCAGCGGTTCCGCACAGCGCCCGCGCGGCCGCCGGTGCAAGGTCAGTGGTGGCGCGCCCCCGCCGGCGGTCGGGGAGGGGACCCTGCGGGGCGGGTTAGCCGGGACCGGAGCGGGGCGGCTGGGGGGCGGGGACTCCAGAGCAGGAAGCCACCTGCGGTCCGGAGTCTCGCCTTGGGTGGCCTGGGGAGGGGGCGGCCGTCCGTGTGTGGCCGGGGCTCCGGAGGGTCTGGGAGTTGCACAGCCTGCCTCTCTTGACTCGGAGTGTCCCTTTAGTAGAGGCGTGGGGAGCGGATGGAAGTGGGGGCCAAAGCCGGGGTCCCCGCGCGGGGCGAAAGCAGCCGCGCGCCCGCTCGCGTCGTCTAGGGAGCTCGGGCGCGGCGGCCGGGAGGAAGGCGCGCTGCTGCGGGCCGCGCTGCGGATAATCGCGCAGCCCGCCCCGCTCCTCCCCGCGCCGGATGCTAAGAGTTCAGAGTCAGTCTGAACGCTCGGTTTTTTGTTTTTTGTTTTAAAAAAAAGAAAGAAAAAGAGACCGATGTTTCGGATTTGGTGAGAAAGCGCTTCTGAAGAAATTAAGTTGCGTTACTTTGTCAACTGTGAGGCTTTTACTATTTACACGTATTCCCTGGTTTTCTCTAATTTTCTGCAGCTCAATCCAATTAAGCCCCTCATCGCCAGGAATAAATAACCTCTGTGTTAGTTTGCCGATTGTAAGGGCGTGCCTGATACCTCGGATAGACTCTCTCCCGGCCCGCGTCTCCACCGACCCTGCGTCCCGCGCGGCGCTCCAGGGGTGGGGGTGAAGGGTGGCCGAGGAGGAGCACTCCTTCAGCGGCTAGGGGTCTGGACAGTTTGCAGTTTTTAAAGCGCAACCTCGGAACGGCTTCTGTGACGCGGGAAAGCTAACGTTTGCAGCAAGTTCAGCGGTCGATCCTTGTGAATGAAATGTCTTGCTTCCGGGACAACTTAGCGCGATGTGCTGAATAAATTAATTGTGGTTGGCTCATTTTCTCTGTGTTCCCGTGGGTTACTGTTACACGGTGTGTGGCTACTTTGTTTAAAGTTTAATTTTCCCCGGACCAAACTAGAAAGGGTTTAAAGTGACCTCAAACCTGTAATTACCAACATACTTTATTAGTACTTGCTTCATTATCATGTCGGTGTTCATATGCGAGTTTTGGTTATCAAAAAATCATCTTCGTTTTAAATCCCATAGATAAGGTCTCTTTAAATGCTGGTTACAACAGCATACCTTTTTGAAGAAGGAAATAAAATGTTCTTGAGTGAAAATTCTAAGAGATTGATAACTTTTTTCTCTCCATTATGTCTTTACCTGAGTTATTGTACTCTTTGCGTTTTAACTCAAAATGTTAACTCACTTTAACACATACATGAGCCACACTTTAATAATTCCTATCATAATTATTTCATTGTGAAGGTACTGCATGTGCTATTGTAAATATGTTTTATGCTTTATTGACTCAGCAATATCCTTACTAATCTTTTCATTAATCAAGAGTTTAAAAACTTTCCCCATGGCTAGTTTTTATAGCCGGTATCTATTGTTTGGAGATGTTGGGTTTGCTAAGAATGTTTGAATCAGAACCAAATGTGGGATATTAAACTTGGAAAGCAGTGTGGTACCTAAACAGTGACTTGTTAGATGTGGTGTTAACATTGGTTAAATTTCCCCCCATTGATCTTCAAGCAGAAGTTACTGTAAAAATTTCACAGTGCCAGCCTTTCTACTCTAGATGGAAGAACTCTACTCGTCTTGGTGGTTGCAGGCATTTATTTTGAACAGGTTTCCATAATATCAGTATTAGCCTGAGGGAAAATCCAAGATAGGTCCCAGCCTCTGGAGTGACTTCTTTGCCATTTTGGAAAAGCTGACTATGAAGACAATAAAACTAGCCCCATCCTTTTCAAAGAGACAAAAGAAATAATAGGTATGAAGTACTTTGAAAAGTAAAATGTGCTACATAAATATAAGGCCTTCAATGAACAGCAAATACAAGTGATGTGGCTGATTGAGATTTGGACTAAATGGAGCTTCTGCGTTTCCCTTTGTAGAACAGTTAAGTCCCCTGAGGCTCACACTGCCCCTTAAGAACCTTGTTGGCTGTTTAGGAAGCTGATCTGTCTGCTGGGGCTGTATGGAAAGTGAGGCTGCTTGCTTAGTGTTAGACCCTAGGCAAGGGCTTTATTTGCATTTTTATTTCATGCTCACTAGAATCGTATGAGGGTAGGCATTGTTATTCCCATTTTGCAGAAGAGAAAATTGAGGCTCAGGGAGGCTGAGTGACTTGCCTAAGGTCATAGAAGTGTCAGGTCATGGAACCAGAATTAGAAACCAAACAGGATCTTGGTTCTCCACACCACATCTTGCTACCTTTAACTTGGTGGTTTTAAACTTTTTTTGATAATCTAATGACACTTGAAGTATCTCCCCAGGAAAAAATGGCCATATCCACATATGCACAAAATTTTGCATGTAATTTCAGGGTCCACCTACCCTCTGAAACCCTTCCCCGGGGTTTCAGGTCACCCTGCTCTAACTATATCTATTACTGAATGAGGCAGAAAGTATACACATACTATATATGTATGTATAATCTTTTACTAATTAAAGCAGCGCTTGAATTTGGTAACTTTTAACTGGGTGAAAATCACTTAGTAACTGAAACAAAAAGAAAAATGATGTGTTACATTCTAATTGATCTTTTATCATCTAAAGTGCAGCTTAGAACAATGCTGTTTATTTGAAACCAGATCTTTTGTTTGGGCTTCTTTGACTATCCTGCTCTAGCAAAGAATATAGATTTGTGCCTTTATTCACAGAATGGAAATATTTTTTTTCCTCCTAGAGATGTCAGATCTTGAGATTGTTATAAGTAGCCGCAGCTCTCATGAAGATGAAAATCCCTGCACTTTTAATCAGCATACAGATCCCTCTGAGAAGCTTCTATTAGAAGACCAGATGAGGCATAAACTCAAATTTTTTTTCATGAATCCTTGCGAGAAGTTCTGGGCTCGAGGTAGAAAACCGTGGAAACTTACCATACAAATTCTAAAAATTGTCATGGTGACTATCCAGGTAAGCATCTCAGATCATGAGTTTAGTGAAGGCCTCTTTTATTAACAAAGAGGACGATGGACAGAGGTTTTTTATAACTTTTAACTGTATGCATAATAGAGAAGAATGAATGAGGAAACATACAATCTTAAACCCGTCTCTCTCCAATATTTGTGAAAGAAGACTTTGGAGTTTTTTTCTCACTTTTTTCCTTCTCATCTTTCATTAAATTATAATTTTAGTCACATCATGCAATTAGTTTTCAGGGAAAGAAAATTTTATTATGTGGCTTCCAATAGAGAGGTTTAGTTGAAGATTTCTAAATCAAAAATTGAAACTAGCTGCTGCCCAACCAGGGAATTCTTTTGCTTCCTAGTTAGTTTCCTGGAGGTTTCTCTCTCTTCAGAAAAGTCAGGGTTTCTGTTAAGGCAAGTCCTGATTCTCACAACCGTGAAATTGCTAATCTTAACTGATTATTGAGAACAAAATGTTTAAGATTGTTAGACGCTAAGGCCATCTCTCCACTCACATGAAGTTGGTAGAATTCCTGCCTAAGTTTCTGATGCTAGATGTTGTGTAAAGGAAACTAACATTTGAGTAATTAATCTGTTCCAGGGCATTATTTCATTTAATTCCATCAACACTCCTACTGGATAAATACTAACATCCTTTATTTTACAGAAGAAGAAACTGATGTTTATAGTTTTTTAGAAGCCACATGACTAGTCAGTGGTGGAATCAAGACTTTAGGGGCAGGTGCTGTCTCTCTAATACATCACCATGAAACTGGATGTTCAACTCTCAGGATAATGTTTGGCACGTTGGAATTGAAATTCTTAACTTCCAGGTGATAATACAGTGTGTCACAACAGTGAAAAATTTATCTGTATTGTTTTTGATAAGTAGGGGGAAAAGCCTATATCAGTTGAATGTGAATATTTTCTACTTAGAATAATAGGTACCACTTGAGTGTTTGCTGTGTTTTGGGCTAAACATTTTACAGGCATCATCATATTCAATTCTTAAAACAAATCGGGGTAGGTAGTAGTATCCCCATGTCACAGATGAGAGCACTGAGGCTTAGTGGGGTAAAATAACCATCATAGTCAAAAAGAAGAGTGGAACTGAACTTCAAACTCAGATTTATTCCCTCTAAGACTTATGTTCTTAATTACTCCTTAATCTTTTAGGGAGCTCATCTAGCCTTCCTGGTTTCCTAGGGTGGTCAAGGGGAATACTGACCAATGGTTTAAGATGTGAAGCCTGTTAGGAATAAGCAAGTAAAAGGCATTTAATTAAGATTAAAAAGGAACTGAGGATTTCTTAATTGTGATGTTTCCTTAATTTATATCTGAGCAATCAAGCGAAATTACGTAAAGACAACTTTGTAATTGAGTAAATGAGGGTGATTTGGTGACAGATTTCCTCTTTTCAAGGAAAAAAAGGTGTTCTGTTAAGTTGGAGATTTTGTGCCTGCAGCAGCAGCAGAAGGATGTCTATGATGATAGACACCCTACTAAAAGTTTCCCTTTTCCCAGTGTCTGGCTCAGGCTCTGAATTACAGCAGTTCTCACTGCTATTGGTACTCCTGTCTGCACTAGGCTGTTGAGGGCAGGGCCTGTGGTCTTCTCATTGTATTCTCAGTACCTTGCTCAGGGCTGGCATGCAGGAGGTACTCATGTATTTAAATGAATTAGTCAAGACTTTTTGGTCATCAGCTTCAATAGATGTAAAATCCCTGGAATATCAAGCTATCTTCTTACTGGGATGTAAATAGGATACCCAGCTTAAAGAGGCTCTTCAGAAATGGGAGTCGAGTTAGGTAGAGAGTGATGACATGTGTAGGGTGCAAGGCATACATCACAAGAGGAGGTGAGAGGGGAAAAGATTTGTCTACTTTCTCTATTTTTCCTGATCAGACCCTGGATTATTAGCATGATAGGGTGGCTAGAGCTTGGATTTAGTCCGTTAGACTTGGGTTCAAATTCTTACTATACACTTGCTAGTGAAGTGACTTAAAAAAATTATTTAACTTCTCTGAGTCTTTATGTACTCGTCTGTAAAATGGGTATATTAAGAACTATACTGTGGGATTAGTATAAGGAAAATTCCTGGAATAGTGTGCAGCACATAGGTGCTCAGTGTTGTTCCTCTTTTCTATGTAAAATTCACCCTGCCTCACTCTGGGATCTAAGTCAGAGTGTGTGTTCTAAATTTACAGCATATGTGTCTGTGTGTGTATGTATAAGAGCGTAAGAACAAAAGCAAGCGTGAGAGAGATTGAGGTGGTTTGGGAGGGAAGAGAAGGTGAAAGAGAGACTTGGAGTACAGTAGGGTTTGGGGTATGATTGAAAGAGCTTATGTTAATAGGACAGCAGTGCAGTTAAACAACTTTTGTGTGTGTGAACAGCTGAGTTTCATGTAAAACTCAGGGGTCAACCCCCCCTGAATATTAAGGTATGTTATTAATATTCTTTAATTTAGGAATGAGTGGAAAGGATATTTTTATTTGTGGTCTTATTGTCACAGTTTTGGTAATTAGACCTAGGAATATAGTTTGAGCGAAGGACTTAGACTTACTTAAGGCATTTCTTACATTGTATTCTATGCCTGCTTCCCAACCTTCTTGCTGTCCTACAGATTCATTCTACACTCTTCCATTTGCGGTTCAAGCCCCTGCACCAGCTGCCCCCACTTTTTCTGCGCACATTTTTTTCTCGCCGTTCCTCTAATTGTTATGCTGGTGTCCTCAGTGTCCCCTCAAAGGGCCAAGTTCCACTCCACCTTCTTAGCCTTTCCCCTGTGCTCCTCAGATGCCCTCTGCCCAAGTTATGCACATACTTCAGGGTTTCTGTCACACTTTCTTCCTTGAAGAAAGCTTCCCATTTCTGTAGCCAAAGTGACTTTGCTTCTGGGAACTCCTAAAGCTTTTGATGGTGGGGGCAGTGTCATAAGTGAGATTGTACATGAAAATAAATGTTGAAAATAAGCAAAGCCACTTTTTCTCATTTTAAAACTAGAACCTACGTTATCTTTAAGGGCAAATTAACTCATAGCTATCAAAATTTTAAGTTCTATTGAATATATTCAGGATTAATTTGACTTTGAATAGATAAATCGATCATTATCTGGAGACCTTTATTTCATCGCTTTTTCACCTTCTTACTTTTTCTTTTTTTTCTTTTAAGCTGGTCACATTTGGGCTAAGTAACCAGATGGTGGTAGCTTTCAAGGAAGAGAACACCATTGCATTCAAACACCTCTTCCTCAAAGGCTATGTGGACGGAATGGATGACACATATGCAGTGTACACACAAAGTGATGTATATGATCAGATCACCTTCGCAGTGAACCAGGTAAAGCAGGCATGTTCATTCTTTACTCGGGAGAAAGAATAGACTGGAAAATTGTTAGCAAGGTATATAATAGAAACCGACATTCAAGTGTAGAAGGGTGAACATTTCTTTAATGACATGTATAAAACCATTTTAAACTTGTTTTTTTTTTAAATATTGCTAACAAACTTATACAAAACTAGAAATTGAGAAAAGCTTTTGTTTAATAACTGAGAGACAGAAACTTTAAAGACTTAAATAAAAGAATAATAGCTAGGGCTTGTCATGGGAGCCTCAAAGATTTAAAATCATTAACTATGACCCTGGTTGTGAGTAGTCATTAAGTCTTCAGAGTTTGTACTTTCAGGGCCCCTTAACAAATAGTGAGAATATTAACCTTGCAGAGTGTATATAGTAACTAAGACCTGAAAGTTCATTTAAAAAATAAGTAAGGCCTTTATGTCATGCATGACAATGATTTTATTGTAATATTGATTAATTGCCAAAAAAAGCGAAAGCTTGTTTTTCATACAGATGAGTCAAATTCCTATTCTGAGTTTCTAATCAACTTGTTTTTGCTATAAGCAGTACTTTCCTAAGATCCTAAAGCTCTTATTTTGTAGGTATCATTGAAAGTGTTCTTGAAGTCAATATTTCCAACCTGGGCTTGTTTGCAGACCACATTTCAAAATTATTACAACTTTTCATCAAAAAATTATTGTAGTGCAATCATGGCTCTTCATTGCCTAGAGACAATCTATGCACAGGGAGATAGTAAACTGCTATGATAAAATATATCTTTATGGCACCAAGGTTTTCTGTTAGCATTCGGATTGTGAAAATTGGCCAAAAATCTATAGTAATCGAAGTAAGCTGCGTAAGTTGTTAAACAGAACTGTGTCCTACAATTTGTAAAGGGAAAAAAATAGTATAATGCTGGAGACAGTAATTTTTGAGATTTTTGTTTTGAACTTATTAAGTTTCTCTAAAGCTACTCTGAACCAAATTGGTAGTTTGTTAGGTTTTTTGGGCATTTTTTTCAGGCATTTTTAGCTGAAGATAAAAAGTATTTTGCTCCCAATTTTCATGAATAACTTGAGTTTTTGTGATTAATGAGGTCAGTTATTCTACATGATTCCAGAGAACTGAATAGGGATAATATGGATATTAAAGAAGGATCTTTGTTTGCTGTAAGGAAATCTCTTGACTGTTGAGGTGATAGTCGCCTAGGGGAACTAACAGATAGGACAGTGGCTTCTCACCCCTTAGATGGATTTCCATGACTAATTAATTATCCTGAAGGGTTTAGCCCCAAGATGTCGTCTAACTGGATAATCTCTACGGGTCATCCTGATCCGACACTGGTTATAATAGCATCACTTTTTGACTATTACATATGCTTATATATTTGAATGTCAAAGACCTAGTTATTTTGGTTTTACACTATATCCTGGCTTTCCTCAATCATTTTTGGGTTATCTTTACTGGGTTCATTTCTTTCACCAGCCCCTTAAATTTGGGCAATCCTCAAAGCTTTGTCCTTTTCCTGCAGAATTTCCTCCACTATACAGCCTCAGCCATCACCACGATGAGGTGACTCTGAAACAGCTTCTCACACTGCTGTGTGCCAGCCAGCTCACGAGCACCTCAGAACCACCGCACCCAAAGCAGGTTCACATTCTCTTCCCACTTGCTCCCCAGGCCTGTTTCTCTTTCTGTCAGTTGCTTAGATTTAAAGGCCTCAGGGTCTTGGAATCGTTTACTCTTGAAGCTCAAGTATAGTCTATAAATTCCTACTTCTGGTTGGCTTCCCTTCTTCCTCACCCACTTGCCTACTACTACTTGGCTGTTTTCTAAAGAATTCACCCAAAATCACAGATTTGATTGCATAATACTCCTCATTATATATGTGTGTGTGTGTGTGTATGTGTATTTATATAAACAGTTTTCAGTGCCACAGCATTTGGTGTATTTATTCTGTGAAGGCAGAGGCACATGACAGGCACTCAGATGTTTGTGAATGGATGAGTGAGCTCAAAAGGCTCATTAAATGTGTTAGGATCAAGTGGTCACAGAAGGACCACAAACAAGGAATCTGTAGTCAAGGAGCAATTGGTTTTAATCTGTTTTACTTTGGGCACCACATCACTCAGGTACGGACTTTTAATGTGTCTTTATATTGTCTCCCAAAAGATGACCTGGACCCATGAATCTGCATGCTCTCAAGGCAGAGCAGCAGAGGCGAGAGAGGACAGATGCCCAGCCCGATTAAAGACCCACAGAGGCCACAGCCACTTAGGTGCCCCATCGGTCAGTCCCACAGGTCACCCGCCTTCTGGCCGTGGTCCCACACCACGTTCCTGTCCCAGAGTCCTCTGACTCGGGGTCCCATGCTGCCCTTTAGCTGGACACAGCTCTGCCACGTGCCCCAGTCCATCCAGCTCTTGCAGGTGCTCAGACCTCCACAAAGAGCCTTCTTAGGGCAGCAAGGGGGTCTGGCCGTAGCGTAGCTTATAATGGTAGCAGGTGCCCAAGATCTTTTCTGTTTCAAGCTCTTACAAGGTTCAAGACACACAAGTTTCTGTGGTCAAGAGGTTCAGATCTTTGGGTATTTCCTGTGGGGATTGCCTCACAAGTCGTGGGCACTCAGAAGGGCTCCAGGGCCCCGTACAGGTGTGACTCTCCTTCTTGACCCCTGCTGGCCTTTCCAGCTTTACCTCCCATGACACGCCCCACATTCCAGGCACACTGGTCTACTTGGGACCTTACCACACTCAATATCTTTTACCTTCTTTTTCATTTAATGGACTGTTTATTCCCCCCCCCGCCTCAATATAAAACTACCAATTTGGCTCAGAGTAGCTTTACAGAGACTTAATTACACTTATTTCCTCGAATAGAAAATAAAAATCGCAAAACTGAATATCTCCAGTATTATACTATTTTCCCCCTACATGTAGGACATAATGCTATTTAACAATTTGTGCCGCTTACTTCTATTACCATAGATTTCTGGCTCACTTTCCCAATCCCAGTGCTAACAGAAAGCTCGAGGCCATAACCATATATCCTATCCTAACACTCTGCCATCTCACGGTGCATAGATTATCTCTAGTAAATACAGAGCCACTATAATAATTTTTTATCTCACCATTAATTTGACAAATATTTGAGCACTTCCTCTGTGCCTCATACTGTTCTAAGTGCTGGGGTTAGAGCAGTGGACTTGATAAATTCCTTGCCCTGTGGGACTTACATATTATTGGAGGACCTGGATTTTAAACAAGTTTAACCAAAATCATTTGATTTCAGACAGTGATGAATGCTATGAAGTAAAAGAACATAGCATAATAACCAGTGGCCTCAGGGTGGTCAGAAAAGGCCTCTCTGAGGACTGAAGTCTGGGGAAGAATATTCTAGCCTGAAGGGTAGCAATAGCAAAGGCCCTGGAGACCCGAAAACATTCAGTATGTTTAAGGAAATGCAAAGGAGGAAGGTGTGGATAGGCTACGTGTCTCAGGACTTGCCAGGCCCTTCGAAGGGGCCTTGAGGTTTATTCTGGGAGAGACAGGAAACCATAGGAGGGCTTTCAGTAGGGGAGAGACTTTCATATACGTTAGCAAAAGCTAACATTTATTCACTCAAATATTTAGCATCTGTTATGTATCAGAAGTTGTTTTTGGTGCAGGGATACTGCGCTGAACCAGTAGACAAAGTCGAGGATCATATTTTAATGGGAAGAGACAGGCAGTAATTAAGTATACAAGGATATCATCCGTCAGTTGGTCATCAGTACAGTGAAAAAGGAAGCAGGCAGCGTGAACACGTGGAGGCGGTCAGGAATAAGTGAGCAGAGAGCAGACAGAAGTGTGGGAGGCCGGGTGTGGCTGTCTCAAGGAAGAACCTTCCAAGGGGGAGGACAGCAAGAACGGAGTCTTGAACAGGTTCAGATGTTGTGTGTCACTGTTCTAAGGGCTTTACATGCCTTAATTCACTTACTCCTTGTAATAGTCCAATGAGTTAGTTCTGTGTGGAGACTAGACTGTGGTGAGAGGCTGGATTGGAAGCAGGAAGACCAGTTAACAGGCTTAATTTGTTCAGGAGCAAGATGATGGTGGTGTGGACTAGGGCAATAGCAGTGAAGATGATGAGAAGCAGTCAGATTTGGGATATAATTTGAAAGTAATGCATGATTTTCTGATGGATTGGAAGTGGAGTATGAGGGAAGAAGACTAAAGGATCATTCCTAAGTTTTGCCCTGAGCAGCTGCTCGACTTACAGAGTCAATTATTGAGAAGGGAATTATTGTGGAAGGAGTTGGTTTTTCTGTTTGCACATTTACATGTAAGATTCCTCTTAGACACCATAGGTGTCATGTAGGCAGATTGCTATCTGTGTATGGAATTCAGTGGAGAGGTCAGGAGATGTAAATTTAGAAGTCATCAGCATATAGATGGTGTTTAAAACATGAGACTGGTTAAGATCACCTGTGGAGAGAATGTAGCTAAAGAGGTCTAGTGCCCTGAATCCAAGAGCACTCTCAGATGTAGAGGTTGGCAAGAGGAGGATTCAGCAAAGGGGACTGAGAAGGAGCAGCCAGTGTCCCAGAAGTGGAGTGAAGAAAGTATCCCATGAAGGAGAAGGCACTCCACTTCAGCAAACACCGTGAGATGTGGAGTTAGATGAGGACTGAGAACTAGGAATCAGATCTGGTAACATCTTGCTCGTTGGTGGCCTCGACAAGGCCCCGCTTAGAATCCATCCCATAGGCCCAGATTATAAATGATTTCCTTCATTTATCATAGCATATTTCACATGCATCTTTTAGGAGAATTGTTTATCTATGTGCTCATCCCACTAAATTGTTAATTCCAAGAGACAGATACCATATCCCTATCTTTGTATCACTAATTCTGCCAAACAGCGTTGTTCATAGTAAGCTCTGAAACACTGAGTTTTGGGTTTTCCATCTACAGAAATCCACTGAGTTTAAGTTGACAGTAATTCCAAGGTACCATAAAATTTGTTTTTAAAAGTAACATTTTGTTTTATTTAGAGGATTCACTAGGACAGGAGAATATTGCCAAGAAAGTGACTACACTGCATTTTTGCAAAGATAGCTAGTTTGCCTGGAACAATTGTATCCTTCCTCTTATGTTACAGTAGTAAAGCAGAACTCTGACCTTGCAGGAGATCATTCAAAGATGAATAAAATTTGTATTCACATTGAATGTAAAATCAGTTTCTGAACACAGTTCTTTAAAAGAGGAAAGAACCTCAGAGATTATGTGGTTTAAGCCTTTACTTTTGCAGGTAAGGAAACAGAAACTCAGAAAGTGTATGACTTGCCCATTGTCACAGAAAGGAGACTTGAACCCAGAACTCTAATTCCTGAGCACTCTGCCCTCTGCTGTCCTGGTGCACAGCAGCATGTCACTTACTCTGCAGATCAACATGAATGTTGCCACCTAGAGGGGAGGTGGGAACCTGTCGGTTTCAAAGTTGGGGAGGAGGAAAATCATGGCTTCACTTCTGCCCTGGCTGGCATTCCCATTTTGTTTCTCTTTTTGGTTGAAGTACTTGCAGCTGCGCAACATCTCAGTTGGGAATCATGCTTATGAGAACAAGGGCACAGAGCAGTCTACTATGGCAATCTGTCAGCACTTCTACAAGCAAGGAAACATCTGTCCTGGAAATGACACCTTTGACATTGATCCAGAAATTGAAAATGGTGATGTTCTTCCATAACCTAGAACTTCCATTTTTAGCTCCCTGATTTATACTTAAAATCAGTCATTTCATCTCTGAAAACATTGATTTAGTCTATGCTATTAGATCATAGTAAGAACTATATAGGAGTTATCATGTGTCAGATACTTTACTATAACTTATGATTCTTCAAAAAAAAAAACCCACAAAAATAAAAAAACCCAACAAGGCAAGGTTTATTATTATTCCCATTTTATAGAAGACTCAAGTACGGCTGAAAGAGTTAAGGGATCTATTCACAGTGGAGCTAGTAAGAGGCAGTGCTGAAATTTGACCCAGCCTGTCTGTGCTCTAGGCAATTTTATTCTTCTGCCTCTCATGCTAGATAAGCAGTTAAATAAACAGATATTATCCTTACAAAACATTATGCTTGCAAATTCTTGATGTATATAAAACTCTCTCCCTTCAATAGCACTTCACTATTCAGTATCTTTGGGGGTAGGTTGGGGGAGGAATGAGAACCAGAACTTAGAATAGCACAACTTATTCTTATTAGTAAAGTTTTATTTGCAGTTTGTACCTAAAATATTAGCTTAGGTTGTTGAGTTAACAAATAAGTATTCAAATACTTTTAACAATAGCCACCGGGATTTTTTTTTTTTTTTGAAAGGAGTAGTAAAAGATTACAGTACTGACTAGTGTAAACCTTCTAAGATGCTGTCTTCCTTTTTTTTTTTTTAAAGTGCTTATTGAGGAAAAATTACCAGCACATAATATTTAAAGAAAAATAGATCCTTTAAACTTAGAAAATTTTGTCTTAGGCACTGCAAGTGCTTCAACCCTAAGCTTAGGATGCAGAAGAAGAAGAAGGGACTCAAAGTTTAGGCTTAAAAAGACAGGAAGGAAGACAGCCTTCTATAGAAGACTAAAGAGAGTGTTCAGATCTTTCTTTACGCCCATCCACTTCGGAAATGTTGTAGCCACTTATATCTTTAAAAAAATGAGTCACTGTAACCAAGTGGCATGGATGTCTAGTTTCTACAATCTTAATTCAGGAAAAATACTAGAATCTGAATATCTAGTCTTAAATGTATTATCCTTTCAAGATGCAGTTTTATTTATTAAATTTTTTAGTTGCCATATTATGTTTTGTTCCTTTCTGTGGCAGAATGTTTCTTTGTAGATCCAGATGAATCTTTTCACATTGGAACACTAGAAGAATACAAACTCAACTTAATGCTGGACTTTCACAGGTGAGGGAAGCGGATGGGAGTGTAACTTTTGTTTGTGTGTGTGTGTGTTCGCTGCACTAAAGTCCCTTCTGTTTTCTAGACTTCTAACAGTGAAGCTTAAGTTTAGACTGAAGGCTATTAATCTGCAGACTATTCGTCACCAGGAGCTCCCTGACTGTTACAAATTTACTCTGACTGTAAGTGTGGGCTGGACTGAATTTGATTCTGGTCTGGAGAAACAATTGTTTTATCTAGTTATATGTTTCATCTGCTTGTATTAAGGTGTGATCAAGTATATAGGATGTTTCCACTTGAATGTGCATGGGGGAAGCATTGGTACAGCTAGCTCTGTTTTGTTATAGTGGCTTGTTTACTTATTAATTATTTGTCTTCTGTACCTCAATGTAAGTTCTATGATGCAGGGACCTTGCCTTGTTGACTGCTGTGTCGCCAGTACCAAGAACATGCCTGGCGCAGAGTAGGTGTTCAAATACAAAAGGAAAAGAGGTTTGTAGGTTCTGTATGGTCGGCTCTTAGCAGTCTGTGGCTGTCTGCTTAAGGTCATTGCCAAGGGTTCTTTCCACTGAGTTTCCTCCCCATGGACCTTTGCAGCCTTTGAGTTATTGCTCACAGTGCCTTCCTGGTGCTGCCTCTGAATGTTCTGGTTGGTTTCTCCCCCTTCCCCCTACCCACCCTATCACTTCTATGTTCTCGATATTCCAGTTGCAAATGGAGCTATTAATGTTCTCTAGAGAGCACAAGATGCCTCTCATGTGAGTTGGAGGATCAGCAGATCTGAGTCATGAGGATCAGAGTCAGTAACCCAATGCTGTATGACCATATGCAGGACAGCATTTGATACAACTTGCCTTCATATGATCCACATTTCTATTACTTTAGCAGTAGTTTAAATCAAAAGCTATGTCCACAATACTCAACTAATTGCCTGTAAGAAATCAAGTTTTCAGAGATTGAGGTTAAAAAATTTTCAGAATATAGTATAATGTAATAATTATGCATATTATTTAACCAGAAAAAGCACTATTTAACCAGAAAAAGCACTAAAACTCTAAGACTATTTTGAAATAGGCTACAAATTTTGATCCTGATATTAACCAGCAGTTATGAATTTTCAATATTACTTGATTTTTTAAAAACTGAGCTATTATCCACAGTCTTGTCTCCTCTCCCCTCCTCCCTCTTGAATTGAGAAATGGTCCTTTTCAGAAGTTTTATAATCCTTCAAGGCTTAGCTCATCTGACACCTCCTTCACGGACCCTTTTGTGATTCCTCAGTTAGAAATACATTCTGTGCTCTGAACTCTCAGGTTTTGTTTTTACATTTTGTATAGGCTTACCACTTTCTCCTTTGTTTTAAGATTTTCTAGGTGTTTATCATCAACTCTGCTAGATTGAAAGCTTCTCGAAGGCAGGAACTGTTTTATTAATCATTTCATCTCTCAAAGTACATAGAACGTGACTCAAATATTTGTTGAATGAGTAAATGAAACACTTGTGGAATCTAGATCTGTTCCAATGACTCAATACAGTGATAAAAGCAACCTGGCCTGGTAGCCACAAGCAGATGTTACATTTTCACCATTATTGTAGAATTATCCCAAGTTGTGCCTGTGCATTGTGGATGTAGCAGGGCATCTCATGGAACTGTGGTAGAACCTATATCCTATGAGGTAGGTTAATAATAAAAACCATTAGTGCAACTTCACTGTGATAAGTAAACATGAACCAGTATACACCTGATATAAAATGCAGGGAATTCAGAGTCAGGCAAGCCTAGATTTTAATTCCAGCTCACCAGTTAGTAGCTGTGTAACGTTAGGTAAATTACTTAATTGGTTTGAACCACAGTTTTCTCGTTTGTAAAACAGAGTTAATGCCCACCTACCTGACAAAGTTGTTGTCAAGACAGAAGATAACATATATCAAGGAACTGCCTAAGTGTCTGGTCTATAGTAAATATTTGATTCATTCAATAGCTATTTATTAAACCTTTCCTGGGTGTGCCCAGTTGAATTTATGATGTAAAAGTAGTGTATTAGCATTCATTCATAGTAGTTTGATAAATTCTTGTATCACATATTTTGAAGCTCTTTATTAGGTGTATAAATATCTAGGATTCTCGGGTTCACTTGGTGAACTGACTCTTTTATTGTTATAAAATGGTACTCTTTACCCCTGGTAATATTCTTTGCTCTAAAATTTACTTTGTCTGGTGTTAATATAGCCAGTCCAGCTTTCTTTTGATTAGTGTTATCATGGTATATCTTTTTCCATCCTTTTAATATTAACCTATTTGTGTCTTATATTTAAAGTGGGTTTCTTGTTAAACAGCATATAGTTGGGACTTGCTTTTTAATCCAGCCTCACAATCTCTACCTTTTAATTAGGATGCTTAGATCATTTATATTGCATGTGATTATTAATACAGTTTCCCTCTTTTTCTGCTGTCTTTTGGATTAATTAAATATTTTTTGGATTCCATTTTATCTCATTTGTTAGCTTATTAGCTATAACTCTTTGTTGTATTAGTTTAGGGTTTATAGTACACATATTTAACTTATTGCAGTTTGCCTTCCAATGATGTTATACCACTACATGTAGAGTATAAGAACCTAACAACAATATATTTCCACTTCTCTCGTCTTAGCCTTTATGTTATTGTTGTCATACAATTTACTTCCAGATGTGTTATAAACTACACAATACATTGTTATTATTTTTGCTTTAAACAATTATCTTTTGAAGCAATTTAAATAATAAGAAAAAAGTCTAGATATTTGCCCATGGAGTTACCATTTCCAGGGTGCTTCATTCCCTCATGTAGCTTCAGGTTTCCAAATGGTGTCACTTTGCTTCTGTCTGAAAGTCTTCCTTAACATTTCTTATAGTGCAGGTCTGTTGGTGATGAATACTTTCAGCTTTTGTATGTCTGAAAAAGTATTTTACCTTCTTTTTTTTTTTTTTTTTTTAAAGTTTTTTTTTTTTAATTTTTTTTTTTTTTTTTTTGGTGAAGAAAATTCACCCTGAGCTAACATCCGTGCCAGTCTTCATCTATTTTGTATGTGGGTCACCACCACAGTATGGCCTCCGATGAGTGGTGTAGGTCCGCACCTGGGAACCGAACCAGAGCCGCTGAAGCAGAGTGCACCGAACTTAACCACTAGGCCATGGGGTCGGCCCCTACCTTCATTTTTTTTTTTTTTTTTTTTTTTTTTTTT